GGTGTTCCTAATAATCCTTTAGGTGAGTGTAGTTCACGATCGATAGTGCCCCCCATAGTCAGTTAAATGCCAGCCCGGTAGATCCGCTCTGGCGCCGGCCCTTTCTCATATAATTAATAAGCCAATATTTTATTGTTCTATAAATCAAATGTGTGGATAATTATTAAACCGTTTATACCTCCCTATTGAGCCTATAGTATAACCTTCATGGTAATCTACTAACTTACCTGTTACAGATGGTTAAAAGGAGTACAAATTAGCATCTGAGCCAGATGGAGGAAATCGAGCTAATCAACCGGATTGTCCAGTCTAAACATGACTAGCTAGACTAGATTGTTAACGTTAACTGAACCCTTCCTGAATAAGTCAGTAATTTTCAAACATTATTCAGCTTTTATTTTCCTCAAACTCTCCCATCAGATGGGACACAGATGATGACTGATCCCCATTTTGGTTCAAGTGGTTTAACCATCAGTACTTTTTTAATAAATTAATTGACAACATTTATTTTCAGCTGCTCTGGGGGGTGTGGGGGGACTCAGCCTAGGGCACCAGAACACCCAAGGCCAACCCTGCCTTTCATTATCTTGGTAAATTACCCTTTTGGGCAGGACAGAGTGTCATAAAGCTACAGTGGGAGGGGTTTTCATTTCTTGTGCAATGATTCCTCTTTAAAACACACTTGTGAGTCTGTCCATTAGCAGTGAGGCATCTGTGACTGAATAACGCAAGTTTTTAAAGCTCCTCCAAACTGAGAAGTAAGTGAATATTTACTCTTCACAACAAAATGTATGAAGTGACCTAGAATAATATGAGATTTAGAGAATCATCCTATGAATCCTGCTCCGTCACTGTCTGACTGAATTATAGCTTTTTGCAATCTTGCCTATGCACCAGCATAATATTAATTCTGCCACTAATGCCAGTTGTGGGAAACCTCAGGTGGCATCTGTAAATTGCACCTGCATTAAACAGTCCGTGGACTGACATTTAAATGACTTCTGAATGAACAAATGTAGGCTGATTTCTATAATTAGACATTTCGTTTTTTTGTTGCAATACTAAAAAAAAAAAATGGGGAAGTCAATGCAAGTGTAATGGTCTGCAGTCAGTAGCGTAAGACTTTTTTTGTGGACCTCTCCTCATTCCCTGTAAGCAGGTCCTACAACTTACTGGGAAATCTGGGGATTGGCACTCCAGCCACTGGAAGAATCTCACTCTGGTCAATTCGGACTTGTGTGGTGCCGAGGTATCACCCACTGCACGACTGCACTCAGGTTCTCTTCCCAGTGGTGGTTTGTCGTGTGGTGGGTGCGCCCCCCCCAGTGCACGCACTTACCTCACCCCTCTCTCTCCTCATTTATTTTGTCATAGGAGTGTAGTACTTCTGTTCTTTATAGTACTGAACCGAAGAGGAATTAATGTCGTAATGTTTGTAAAATATGAATATTTCTCTTATTTTATCTTATTTTATACATTTTAACAGCAGTCTGAAATGACTTCTCCTATGAAGAGCCTTTCATTAGACTACGAAAGGTTCCACAAGTGCTTCCGGATTTCCCGTCAGGTGGCTTCGGAGCATCAAGTTATGTATAAATTCATTCGTGAGAGTCTTCCTGGCATCCTTGCAAGGTAAAATCGTACCCAGTAATTTGAATGTAAAATATAAAGTATTTTTAGGTAAAGGAAGAGGATCTATTTTTGTAAAATATTGTACTGAGAGTGTGGCAGGATTGTGCACCACTCAGAATTGAATTGAAAATGGCCCTGAAATTACAATTTTCAGTTTCACTTATAAAAGAAATAATTTAACTGTAATTTTGTGTACCATGGTGGATCTTCTCATACTGTAGTAAAAGTCGAGTGTCTCCATTTGTCATATCTTGCTTTTGCTATAGCACCATGGTTGTACTGAAGGACTGAACGTATTGCTCTATACATAAGAAAATAACTGGGAGCAACAACATGAAATAACAACATGAAATTATTTTTGTCACGTAAACTTTCATTTGCTTTCAATTATAGTACTGTGCGGTATAAACGATATACGATATAAATGTTTTGTTCTTGACATTCAGCTGACTTCTTAGGACTTGCCTTATATATATATGATTTGCTTATGCCGCCCTACCGCAGAAATTTCCCCTCTTCGCCCGAAAAAAATGACGTAATCAAGTCACGTCAAATAATAAATTATTTGTTATTTATATGATTTATATAAAAAGTATTTATATGATTATTGCTGCACCTGGCAGCAGAGTCCTGCACGGGTATGATTTTGACAAACCGCACCTGCCCCATTTAAACCCGTATCCGAACCGTTATCCGACAGAAATAAAATAAAATTCCGCACCCAATCCAACCCGCTATAAATAAATACCGACACCCGACCCGCACCCGAATGAAAATCAGTCAGATAGCCAAAATTAAAGACAAAAGTTTATTGCCACAACAAACGACAAGGCATAACCAAATGTAAATATTGCTTAATAACAGCCTAATAATAAGCAAAACAAACGGTAGTAGCCTACCTCCAAACTCAAATAATGTCTGATATTGCCATGCCCACACATAGCCTTACCAGCTTACAATCAAATGTGTTCATAAAACTAATATTTTAGTGACACACAAAAACATCCTGCATTCAAGATAAGACGTAAAATCCATATCAGTCTATGCCTGCACGCGCATAACACCTGTTATCTCTCTCACTTTCATTTTAAAAAAACGCATGCGATCTCCTGCAGTTGTTCGAAACGGATGCTGAGGAGTTGAAAAGAAAACTAGCAAGCCTAGAATTTAAAGTTGTGGCCAATAACTACGAAAGAGGATTAGGGCCACCATGAAAATATTATTTGAATTCTGACTTTTTTTCTAAACTCAGAATTCTGAGATTAAAGTCAGAATTCTGAGAAAAAAGTCAGAATTCTAAAGTCAAATAATATTTTTATGGTGGCCCTAATCCTCTTCCGTAGTTACTGAGTGATTGTTAACATTAACTGACCCCTAAGCAGGGATATGCAAGCCAATAGTTTACATGAGATTCATTTTATGGTTACACACTAACACACGCATGGATTCCACAGTAAACATGACACAGTTACAAGATTTGGTATTTACAACATAAATACACATATTAATGTACACTATTTACAGATCACATGATGCGCTGCAAGGCATGCTGCTAAACGGCATAACTGGTCCTGTTGACCAACTCTGTGGCATCATAAAAAAGGATAGAGTGAAACAATCCTAACAATGGTTTTGTGTATTCCACAGCACTTTGGAGGGCAAGACTACCTTTGATGTTGTTTCACTTGGGAGTGGTACAGGTATGACGTTCTCAACAGCAGATGCAAATACAAATCACTTGGTTGTACAGGCTGTTGTTGTATAAAAGAATGGTTATAAAAGCTCATCTCTATGAACAAGGATTATGCTGATAGTTGAAATTTGAGCAATAGTGGTCACGAATCAACGTTTCACATTTATTGGCCTAATGCATTTGCTTTGAGTAAGTATTTGCTGAACAGCATAGATGGCATCCACAGGAATTATCTGGGCTCCATAGCTGAATCTGGATTTTGATCTTGCAGGAGAGGTGGACCTGGAGATACTTTCACAGCTGAGTAAGGTTTTACCAGATGTGAAGGTGGGCTGTGACATGGTGGAACCCAGTGAGCCGATGCTGGAGAAATGCAAGGGTACTAGGACTTCAAATACTCACACTCATATCATGCATTTCATTGGGTTTAGTCAATGCATTTTACTGTTTAATTTGGTCATAATTAATAGAATTGGCCCCCATTAATCATCATATAACATGTTACATTTATATTACAAAAGTAAAACATTGTTTTGTCTTGTACAGAACTTGTGTCAAGAACTCCCAGCTTGGACGATGTAAACTTCACATGGAATCAGATGACTGCCTCTGAGTTTGAGAAGCACTGGCGAGACAGCCAGCCAGAGAAGAAAGTAGACTTCATTCATATGATTCAGGTGAACATGTCTGCAGGTCACTTTGCTGTGTTAATAAATGGGAGCAGAGTGAAGCTTCATTCAACAGACAGAAAGTGTTGTTTATGAAGATTACAGCTTTTAACCAAAAAGTTATCACTTTAAGTACCAGGATTTGCCCTGCTGTTGCAACTGTAATTACATATTCACCTGTATAAATATATTTAAAGTAATTTCAATTTGAATCAACTGCAATGATACAACGACCCAGGTACTGTTGGTAAGCCCACAATTAAAGGTGCTTCTTTAGATCAAGGGCACCTCCAGATGGAAAGCATGCAGAACTTTCCCAGTGACTATAACAAAACCACTTAAGGGGTTACACCTAACTGATTGACACCACAAGTATCCCTATATGTAACTAGGCGTGATCCTACTATGATGTCATCACCTGGGTATTTCAGAAGGTCGCAGATAACAGTTTGAAGCTCAGACCCAGTGATGCAGAGTGTTCAAGTCTGCGACGGGGGAATACGTGTAATAGCCAGCACTTTTATCGCAGAGCTGGATATATCTAACACACTCCACCAAGGACAATGTAACACCCTAAACATTATCTTTCTAAGTACACAATTATGTTCCTTAAGTGGCTTTGGTTGCCTGTTTGAGTTTTATTGTACTGCGATGCCCACATACTGCAGTGAAAATTGGTGATATTCTGCCTGCTTCTATGACAGGTTACCAGGGGCGTAGCACCAAATTTTGGGCCCTATGCACAAACAGTGCCCATGCCCCCCCCAAAAAAAAACAGCCTAATCACACAAGACTTCACTGGAATTTAGTTTTATTTGTAGAATGATTAAAAGATTAAAAGCTATAACAGGAAATGTCACCAAAGGTAGCCTAACATCATAGGCCTGCATGAAAATTGAACACTTTTGAAACGGTTTCACCGCTGCGTTGTTCATCAAATTACCATGCGAATGCGATTTCAATACGCGGAAGTGCGGCTGTTTAGAATGTGAATAGCGATGGTCACGCGAAGGCGGTACTACACGCCCCCCATGCAGGTAAAACAAAGAAAGGTGACATGGTTTAATTTTTGCCGATTTAACCTAATTTTAAAAACTTTAAATACCTCCGACAATGGACGTTTTCAAAAGAAGACAGATTACAGATTTAGCCAGCGTTTTTTCCATGATTCTACACGAACATTTCAGCGAGATATAAAGTGACGATGCCGTGGAACCCAGGGGGTTAAGCAAACAAAAAAAAAATATTTAGACTTATCTAGACTACATCATGTTAAGCTATGTGTAATTTCGCAGTGGTATTTAAGTGTTTAATAATCACAGTTCATTTAATGTAGGCTATTTGCTTTCACATTTGGGCTCACCTTTCTTGGGAAAAAAATTTGTAAGCAGTTGCTTTCCCTCATTTCTTTTTTGAAAACCGGATTTAGCTTTCTTTGGCATCATCTTCCAGCACGGATTCAGCAGAATGACCGCTAAATTAAATGCGCCTAGTTAAAAAGCCCGGTGAAGACTAAACCATTGCAAGGGGTGAGGGTGTTTGTCCTCAGGCACTGTAAGCTAGGACACAATTCAATCCGTCAACCGATTTATTTTCCCACAAAAATTACATTTACAATAGTTAGCAACATTTATTGTGATCTTTCAATAATATTAATATTTAAAGGAAAATAAAATTCCAGATTCCTTAGGGGCCCTCCCCCTACATGGGGCCCTGGTAACTCAGTCCCCTCTCCCCCCCCACTAGGACGCCCCTGCAGGTTACCAAGTGTTCTGGATAATAAGCTTTGTGTTTAGCGGTAAATGGCACCTCGATTCTGTATTTGTATGTGACTCTGCACACATAATCCTCACTGTAGACGTCATTAACAGTTACTGAAGTTTGTATTTAGAGTAGAAGCTTCCTGTCACCATTCTGCACACTCCAGTTCCTGCTGGCTGACACATCCACCACTAGAAAATCGAAATTGTCACTGTTGTCTTATGGGCTCCACCACTAGAAAACTGAAATATTCTCGTCTTATAGGCCTGAAAAGCTGCTCTCCCTTGATGTGGATTTTGAGTGTTAACCCATCAATGTGCATTTTTATTTTGACCCTCAGATGCTGTATTACGAAGTCGATCCCGCTGCCGCTGTCTCATTTTACCGGAGTCTCTTGAATAAAGATGGAAAACTTCTCATCATGCTTAATTCTGGTAATTAATTGTTTAGCATTGTGTGAAACTACAAAATGAGAGTTTTCAATTGTATGTTAGCCCTGCATATTGAAATTAATGTGGGATTAATAAGTGGACTAAACGGGAAGGATAGTGGTAGGAAACAGAGGACAGGATTGTTGGGGACACACACTCCCTGGTGCCCGAATTCAATGGGACGTACGCTTCACTGCTTTCTGTTTCAGGGGAGTGTGGCTGGAGCAAGCTGTGGAGCATTTATGGGAATGAGCTGTATCGCAGGGAATTGAAGCTGACTCTCACTGCGGCAGACATCAAGCGCAACCTAACTGCCGAAGGAATCAGTTTTGAAGCCTTTGTGTTGCCTTCGACAATCGACATCACAGACTGCTTCATCCCCGGTGACGAGAAGGGGGAACTGGTACTGGATTGGCTCACCTCAGTGGTGGACTTCAGACGTACTGCTCCTCCAGAGCTGAAAGCCGGCGTGATGGACCTCCTGCGCAGCCCCGACTTCACCACTGAGGTGGATGGGAGAGCCTTATTCAGTTGTAATCTGGAGGTTTTGGTTCTAGGCCAGTAAGTGTGGAAGACAAGGAGGGATGGCAATAGAGTGACATGACCTTCTTATTCATGAGTAAACCAATCAAACATACATACATATATTGTGAAGTGGATTGATTTGATTCATTTACCAAATATTAAGAGATTGCACTGATTAAAGGGGTGCTTACACTTACAATAAAATACTGCTAAGATTGATAAAATAGGCATATAGTCTGCCGAAGTCTGCTAAACAAAGAGTGAAAAGAAAAAAGGTGAGGCCAATAGAAGGACAAGGACAGTCTGGAAATAACATGCTGGGTTTGAGACATGTGACGCAAAAGATCCAAGTATTTGGAAAAACTGAGAAGCATTGCAAAATATGCTTAGAATCAGAATACTTCATCATTCCGGAGGAAAATCTTTGTAGTTAGGGCAGTTAAGTCAAGAGGTGATGCTGCGTGTATGTTGACCTTTGAGAAGTACCAAAATAGTTGGGGAGCCAATATTATATTAGCTGAAGTAAACAGCTTAATTGCTAATGGGAAAACAAAAAATGGTATGGAGGTGAAATAATTTCTGACCACTGAAAATGAAGTGTATGAATATATGTCACTAGAACTTATGTAACCTGTAATCATTTGCAATGGAGTTGAGCCACTCAGAGAGAAATCTTAGGTGTGACTCCATCTGCAGAAAGCAAATAAACTAACCTAAAATTCAAAGAAACTCTCCACCTGTCTGCTGTTTGATATTTGTTTATTGTAAACCTGTTGAGATTTGATTTGCCACCACATTAGATGCCCGGCATCTTACCAAATGTTCATTGCTTTTATATTCATATATATTTGTATACAGAACAACTATGACACCTTATAAATGAAATCTGACTGAACTTGACTGAACTCATTATATAATGTATTGTGAGCCAGTATAATGTACAGCATTGGCGTAGGTCTGAGGCATCTTCTTCCCATGGTGATCAGTCCCCATTCCCAGATTAAAGAGACCTTTGTCAACCCAGAGATATACACTATATGGACAAAAGTATTGTTGGAACACCTGGCCATTACACCGACAAGAACTTTTATGACACCCCACTCTAAATGCACAGGCATCACTATGGGGTTGGTCCCCCCTTTGCAGCTATAACAGCTGCCACTCATCTAGGAAGGCTTTGAAGTGTGTCTGTGGGAATTTTTGCCTGTTCATCTGAAACAGCAGTTGTGAGGTCATGCACTGATGTTGGACATGAAGGCCTGGCTCACAATCTGCATTCGACTTCACCCCAAAGGTGTTTGGCTCTGTGCAGGTTCATCCACACCAAACTCATCCAACCACATCTTTATGGACCTTGCTTCATGCACTGGGGTGCTGGAACAGAAAAGGGCCTTCCCCAAACAGTTCCCACAGAGTTGAAAGCATGGAATTGTCCAAGATGTCTTGGCATGCTGAGACATTAAGAATTCCCTTCACTGGAACTAAGGGGTCTAGCTCAACCCCTGAAAAACAACCCCATACCATTATCCCTCCTCCAGTTGGCACAATGCAGTCAGGCAGGTAACGTTCTCCTGGCATCTGCTAAACCCAGACTCGTCCATCAGACTGCCAGACAGAGAAGTGTGATTCATCGATCTACAAAACACGTTTCCACTGCTCCAGAGATCATTGGCGACTTTTACTCACATTGCACCTCAGCACTCAGCAATCTCGCTCCGTTTCTTAAGTCTCTGTTGATGTGAGCAGAAGGTGTTAACATGAAAATAAGCAAGCCAGTCAATTGTCAAATGTATGTTTCTTTGATAAAATGAAGAGAGTCTTCTTTAATGCAGCCATACGACAAGCATGTAATCGACCTGAAGCAAAGCAGTTTTAGGCCTGGCCAGTACTTGGACGGGAGACCAACTAGAAAAGCTGGGTTGCTGCTGGAAGAGATGTTGGTGTAGCCAAAAGGGGAGCCTATCCTGTGGTCTGGGTGCATCCCAGTGCAGTGCTGGGGACACTGTGCTGTAAAAATGGTGCCATCTTTCAAATGAAACGTAAAACCAAGGTTCTGACTCTCCAAGGTCAGAAAAGATCCCTAGGCATCATTGGAAAGAGTAGGGGTGGTACCTCAGTTTTCTGGCTAAAATTGCGCACTGTGGCCCTGTCACATCTAGCCTACTAATCATCCCCTATAACTAATTGGTGAAATCTCTTCCGTGCCTTCACTACCTTACATAGCTACTGTGTGGTGAACATACTGATGCAGAATGACTGCCGTTATATCATCCTGGTAGGTACTGCGCAGTGGTTCAAGTGGCTCCCCTTTGGTTGTGCAAAGTGCTTTGAGTGTCATAAAAAACACAATGTAAATGTTACATTAATTCATTCATTCATTCATTCATTCATTCACAAGATGACATACTGTAGTTGTTTGTTTTAACTCAGAGTATCAAGTTTAAACAACAAATGATCTTTAATTATGGAATGTTGTGAAAATGAACTTGTTTTATTTAGATAAACTTAACCTTTTGAGTTGAAACAATTCATTTTTCGAGTTGAGTTTGTTCAGGTTTTTTTTAAGGCAGCAGGTGAACTTTCATCTGTAATTTTAACAAATTTGAAATGTTTTACAGTGCATAAGCTTGCCTGACACTATACTGGAAAGCTGCATGACATCATACTAGTAGAACTGAGTCATTAAATCAAGGTGCAGACCTGGGGTGTTAAGACATAGACAGGTGAAAGTTGTCGGTTCAAGTGCCAGACAGTTGTTTTGCTGAGATAAAACATGGAAATGTTCCCAAACAAAAAAAAACAGAAAATGGATGGATGGATGGATGGAATCCAGCTGCATAAACAGCAAAAAAGTGTATGTTGTCTTAAAGTATATACTAAGTGGCAAAATAAGTAAATTCAAAGTGAGGTCGTAAAATGTTGCATTCAGGAAATAAGCACTGACTTTTGAAAAACCCCATGCATGCAACATTAACTTAATGCTTTAGCTCTCATAAAGCTATATACAATTAGCAAAAATAGTGTGTGTCATTTGTGTCTCTGCACATCTTCATTAAGCAGACAAGATTCCTGTCTTTCTTCTGTATAGTGTCCAAAACTGGCCTCAGTGTTGTTGACTGCAGAACAATTGACCATCTTGCTGAAATTGATAAAGTTGTTAATACCTTCCACTCAATAATTACACACAGACGGGTATGATTAGGAGCTCCAGCCACATAAAACAAAAAAAATTAGAAAACATTTTGAGATTAAAGTTGAAAGTTTTGAGATTGGTACCATAATTAATTTTTGAGATTAAAGTATGAATAAACTTTCCAGATTAAAGTAGGATGTTTCGAGGTGATGTCATGCCCCGCTTGTCTGATTCTCCCGTGTGCCACGCCCCTTCATCTACCCCGTGTGGAATCATTGTGTTTACCAACTGTTTCTTGTTGCTGTTAATTAGTCCTATGTATTTAAGTCTGCGTTAGGTATGTTTTCCCCAGTCCGGTCATTGACGTTACATATTTCCTGTGCCCTCGAAAGGATTGATTCCTAATAAACCCCTTATCCCCTGATTCTCTGTCTCCTCACTCCCGCTTCCTCGGTCCGCGTTGTGGCAGGTAAAAGTCGAATTCTATGGATAGCTTCTCTTAACATAGAAGTTCCCAAAGTGCGGGGGTGCGAGATGATCTGAAGAGCATGTCTATAAACATCATGTGAAAAATAACCCATTTTAACTGCAACTGGATTGATCTCCCCACCCCCGGTTCGGCAAAATATAGCATCAGGATTCCTTAACTCGCAGTATAATTTGGAGGCCCCGAATAGAAACTTAGTTCAGGTTGCGAGTCTCTGGCACCGTTATTTCGGGGTCATGGGCTGAAAGTTTAGGAAACTCATGTCCTAGCAGACATGAGCCTTCATTTGGGGTGGAATGAACCCAGAAAGCAGCTGAATATGAGGCATCAGTATGGAATCAACATGTAAGACGACTAACCTCCTGCAGATAGGTCTCTCTCACAGTCACTGGCAGGTTTCTACCACTAAACTTACAACTTTTTCCTTGAAAGTTTATTTCAAATTTAGTTTCAAAATGCTATATTTTTTCCTTTTTTAGGTGGTCCTAATACTCTTCCGTAATGACTTCATTCTCGAAATCTGTAATTTTTTCTCCCCTCCATGTGGCCCTAATACTCCGTCATGCTAATACTCTTCCGTACAACATCGATCTCGATGAGCTGAAAATAAACTGGATACTGCTATAGTGTCCCTAACAAGTGCAGCGGTGATTTTAAAATGAGGCTAAAGGAAGTAGGCCACACTTTAAAAAGGTACAAATAAAGTACATAGGGAAAGAGAATCTTTGACCAACATGCACAATGACTTTTGCGTGACGTTTTTAATGTGTGATGTTTAAGTCATAAAAAAGCATATGTTAAAAGTGTTGTGATGAGTTTCTGTTTGTCCATACCAGGACCGTTGCTAGGGCAACGTCTTAGGACATCTGGGCCTAGTCCCGGTTCTGAAACTGAAACTGAAAGCTCTCACAATACGCTGAAGGTACGATGGGCACGGTAATCCAGGGGTACGGGGGAAAACTCAGGGTTTACTGGGAGAAACAGTACTAAACACGGGGGAAAGATTGGCAGCAACGGCAAAATGACATTAACGACAGGAATGGGGAAATATACTCTGATGCGGACTTAAATACACAGGACTAATGAAAACAACTCAAAACAGCTGATGACATGGGGATTCCACATGAGGTAAACGAGGGGGCGTGGCACACAGGAGGATCAGATGAGCAGGATGTGACAAAAGCTTGGTTGCTAAAACATCTGAGCTAAACAAATTATTCAGGGTTCATTCGAATTTATTCAGCATTTCAGCCCCAAACGCCCCACCCTAGTGACGCCTCTGGTCAGACTTATGTGCCAGGTAATGCAGCATAATGTTGCTGTCAGGATCCATCCTGGCCTTGTCTGTCGTCTCCCTCTTTGGCCGCCGGCCATCCTGTTCTGTGTTCCCCTAGTGTCCCTTGGTTAGCTCCTAATGTGTTCTCCTGGTCCCCTGGACCATCCCATGGCTTAATGGGCTGAGCGAACGACTGCATCATCAAGGCTTCCCTTTTTATTGTGGGTTATAATTTCATTTTGACCATTTATGTTTCTTTGTTGATCATTGATTGATTATGTAATTTTATTACGGTTCCTTGTTGTTCAGTAGCCCTTGTTTTCTAGCCTCCCTTGTCTGTTAATTGCCCTCACCTGTGGTAGTGTTCTTTGTGATTATTAATGGCCACACCTGTCTCTTGTTTGCATCGTTATGTATGTATTTAAGTGCCTGCCCGGGTTCCTCTTGAAGCTCATTCTGATTGAATGTGCCAACCCGACCCGGCCCGGCCAGCCGGCCGGCCCCCTCCCTAATGGTTCCTTTGTTTGTTGTTTTGTTTTCTTTACTTAAAATGAAATCCCTTGTTTTTTTTCCAGCCACAACATGGATCATCCCTTTGTCCTTCACCATAGCCCTCTGTATCAGTTGCTGATCTATTATTTCGGTTCCACCTTGAACTGTACACAATGCTGATAGAATTGGGTATTCCAAATAATAAGGATCTATCTTCCTACTTTTTAAAAACATTAGCCTACATGTGCAGGGTATGTTTATTTATTGAATTTCTATTTAGCAAGTAGCTGCTTTGCTTATTTCCTCTAGATGTGATGTTTGACACTCTTTAGCTATTCCAG